CTCTCTCTCTCTTTGTGTGCAACATGTGTGTTTCTCTTGAATACAATCTCTATAAAGCTATGTCACGTTACAATGAGCCAATTTGTATAAAGCAGTTCCAAATCTCGACTGCTTTAGGCATCCTTGATTCACGGACGAGTTAACAGTAACTCCGACTCGAGTGTACGTGGAAAATTAGGTGCATCTGAGCGTACAGATAGTCTATATATACTATATATATATATTCCATTTTTGGTAGAATGTTTGATTGCCAAACCATAAACCGTGGAAGAAAATGATGATACCTCAAAATAACTCACGTGTGACATTTATATAATATGCAAACATATACTAATTAATTTCTCATCATATATATATATATATATATATATGCTTTTATCCTCCAAACACTTCCATATTTCTCTAATATTGTCACAAAATTAATAATTTTGTAAAAAAAAAATAATTTGGAAATTTTAAAATTAAAATCATCTTTAAAACAAAATTCAATTTTAAAATTTTCATTTTTATAGCAATTTTCCCTTACCTAATTGCTAAATAAACATTTGTTACAAGTTAACAACTGATAATTTTTTTTTATATATCACAAAAATAATCGTTTTTTCCTCATAAAAACACGTCATTATATTTTTTTTTCCTCAAAATCCATTTTCACACATGAATATTGTAAAAAAAATCATCATCATTAATAAATAATAAAATTTAAAAAAATGATAATTGAAGTAATGAAAAAAAAAAAAACATGAGTAGAAAAAAGAAGATGGTAATTGTTGTTTTGAAGTGCAACTAGAATGTATTTGGTAAAATCTCAGTCACCCACAATAACTGCAAAAGAGAGAATGCTGAAAATGCCTGTATATATATATATATATATATATATATATATATATATAGATGAAAGTCTCTGGTACTTATATAAGTGCACTAATTGTTGGAACGAATCTCGAGTATGCCGTTCTCTCGCAGTCGGCAGTTTAGGTATGTTAAATCAAATTTATTTCCTCTCCCTGCCTCGAGAATAATCACGAGAAAATGTGAACGCAAATAGCCGCCTCTATCTCTCTCTCTCTCTCTCTCTCTCTCTCTTTCTCCTTTTTGGCGAATATGAACAGAAGTTCATTTTATTATTGTCTTTTCAATGTTTACTCGGCGCGCACAATATTATATCCTTTCTCATCCCTTGAAAAAAAAAAAAAAACAAAAAAGAAAACATAAATAGGGGATTTAAATTGAATATCCGTGGAATTTTTTTTTTTTTTTTTTTTTTTTTTGTATATGATTGTAAATAAAATGAAAAAATTTTACTTTTTTTAGCTATTATAAAATTAAAATTACAAGTAGAAATTTTCTAGGGAAGAAAATAACGAAGTACGCAACGTTTATGATAAACGATTTTTAAAGAAATAGTTTTTTAAAATCAAAAATTTTATAATTTTTTGCCTAAAAAAAATAGTTTTTTTTTTTATAATTTATTGATTAATGAAAACTACAAGAAATATTTTTTTTGGGCAAAATATTATAGAATTTTTCATTTTTAAAAAAATTATTTCTTTTAAAATCATTTATCATAAACGTTGCGTACTTCAGTTTCGTAGAAAATATGTTTCTAGGGGGCCTGTTTTTTTAAATATACTTGACTGACCCTTTCTATATTATATTATTTGATAGCAAATTATTCAGTGCCTCGTCAACCGCTTATCTCTATTCATGCGTAGAATTATATAACACTGATAAAGATTGAGTGATAAATTTTGCAAGTTTTATATTAACTTTCAAGTCCCTTTGTAACAAAATTTTTATTTATCCAACTTTTAGTGTGAATCAATTTTCAAACACATTTTTTTTTTGCCATAGAATTTAAAAAAAAAAAAAATATCACTAATTTATTTCAGTTTTAGCGAGATTGCAAAAAAAGGAAATCTTTATAAAAAATGAAAACAATAATATTTTCACGGAAAAACGCTTAATTAAAAGTGAACATTAGAGTATGAAAAGTTTTCTTCTAGAAAATGTGCGCGCTTCAAATGCCTCAATTAAAATGAAGCGAGAGTTTAAAATCAAGTGGAGAATGCTTGGTGAAATTGTAATTGGATTTTCAAACTGCGTTGACTCACGCTCTGCATTATATTAATTATAACGTCAGTTGCCATGGTTTTATTATAGACATCTGGATTGAATGGTAAACGCATACACACACACATATATATATATAATATCTATATATGTATTTATTTCTAGTATACGTTATGCACCGCATAATATTGCTTATAAACTCAATGTGTGTACCAATAATAAATATATAGTAATTTCAAATACCTAACACATTTATATTAATAAAAAAATTTCTCGACATATGTTAATGAGAAATAAGCTTTTATTTTCATCAGAATAAAATTTTTATCAAAAAAAATTATTTCTTTTCGAAATAAATAAAATTAATAATCTTGTAATTTATTTTTAAACAAATAAATTAAAAAGGTAATAAAAAATATAAATTACTCTCTAAATCTGAATTAGTAAAAATGTTTACCAATTTGAATTAGTGACTCACATTTTGCTTATGAATTAGTAAAATTTTACTAATTATTAGTAACTTTTACTAACAATTAGTAAAATTTATCTTATTTAAGTATTTATTAGTAAAATTAGAAAAAATTATAGTAAAAATAAGTATTAGAAGTAATTATTTTAAGAATTAGTATTAGAATTAGTAAAAATGTTTATTAATTTGAATTAGTGACTCACTTTTTGCTTCTGAATTGGTAAAATTTAACTAATTGAAGTATTTATTAGTAAAATTAGTAAAAACTATAGTAAAAATTAGTATTAGAAGTAATTATTCTAAGAATTAGTATTAGAATTAGTAAAAAAGTATACTAATTTGAATTAGTGACTCACTTTTTGCTTCTGAATTAGTAAAATTTAACTAATTGAAGTATTTATTAGTAAAATTAGTAAAAACTATAGTAAAAATTAGTATTAGAAGTAATTATTCTAAGAATTAGTATTAGAATTAGTAAAAAAGTATACTAATTTGAATTAGTGACTCACTTTTTGCTTCTGAATTAGTAAAATTTTACTAATTATTAGTAACTTTAACTAACAATTAGTACAAATTTAACTAATTTAGAAGCAAAAAGTGAGTCACTAATTCAAATTAGTAAATATTTTTACTAATTCAGATTTAGAGAGTACCAAATAATTAAAATATAAACGAAAAATTAAAAAATTAACGAATTATAAAAACATAAACGAATAACAAAAAAAAACAAATTAAGAAAATAATAAAAATATTTCAATATTCAATTTAAAACACAGAGAAATTTATGTATGATACTTTAGCGGATATGAAAAAAAAAAAGAATAAAACTATATTATTGTTTTGGTTGAACATACACAATGTAAGCGCGTCGTTTTATGGATTACATAATCTCAGCAATAATTATCAAACGAGAAAACGGATTATGACAAAAAAAAAAAAAGTGAAAATAAATTCACTTTAATCCCAATATCGTTTCACGGCAAAACTATTATAAAGAAATTTTTTTTATCTATATATAAATACGTCAGAGTTATTGTATATACGGTACTTTTTAACTGGTATACACCATTTATGCACATATATATATATATATATATATATAAAATTTCTTTAGAGATGGAAAATTTTATCGTTGAATTTACATCGAAAAATGTAAACGGAATATTTACCTGTAAAATACAGAAAGAAAAAGAAAACAAATTTGACCGGTTTCATTCTCGAGAGAGAAGAAGAGAAGCCCCGTTTAGAATTATTATTCTTTTAATAAAAGTATGGCGAAAAAAAAAATTTCCAATAAAACGTAAACAATTTTATTAAAAAAATTGAAAAATTTATCGCATATAAAATCATACATTTAATTATTAATTAAATCCTATTTTAATTTCAAAGAAACATATTTTATTAAAGAGAAAAATATTAATAAATATAAATTTTATATAAAATATAAAAAATAAAATAAAATATTTTTCTTGATTTAAGAAGATTTTGTTTCAAATATATAAATAAATTATTGGTACTAACATTCAGTTTATTTGATACAAATAAAAATGATTTTTCAGTAAATATTTTTAGCAGTTAAATAATCGATTCGAATATTTTTTTTTTTGCTTTCAGTTTAGTAAAAATTGTCATTACTTGGAAATTAAAGTTGTGTAATCAATGGATAAAATCGAAACATGTTTTAAATTGGGTTTTTGAATAAGATTTTAACTTCCCGGTATCAAACTATAATGGTTTGAAGGATAGAGATGAGATAATATCCGCCAAATGTCAGGACCGGAATATTGTTGATCCTATACCAACGCAACATAATTTCCTCTTAGAACAATACGGGGGTCATGGGACACGATCTACTGTTACTATTTTCAGATAAATTACTCTCTATTTCATTGACAAGAGACAAGATTTTTTTTTTTTTTAATAAATTAATGTCTATTTTAAAGATTCTTTTATAGAAAAATAATAATAATTTTAAATCTACAATTTACATTTTCATATTATTATATTTATTATTTTACAAAAATTCATAAAATCTTTTTTTATATTCTGGAAAATTATTAAAAAATTACATTAATTAAAAAGAAATTTAGTGGAAAAAATCAGTGTACTATTTATTATGAAATAAATAAATAGTAATTCAGTAGAAAAAATCAGTTAAATAAAAATTCTGTTAAATGCAAAATAATATCTAAAAATAAATATTCTCTGAATTTTCAATTCTACTAAATTATATTTAATAAAAAAAAAAAAATTTTGTGAATTATTTAATATATTTAAACAAATTCAAGGTGAAATTCTTTTTGGAAAAATTATCAATTTCTATTTTATAAAATTATGTAACAATTTAAAAGATATTATTTCTTTTAAAGTTGTTTAACTTTAAATTGTTATTGCCATTTTTAAATACAAGTATGTTATCATATTTACATAAATACCTATATATATATATATATGTGAAACGATTCTAGAACCAGTAACTAACAATACACCTATTGATAAAGACAACGAGTTTCCAATTGCTTTTAATACTCTTATCGAAAATTTGTACTTGAGTGTAATATAGAGAAGGCTTAATATAAAATTTTAATTTCCTATCTAACGTCGCTTCGTCAGTAAACAATATATATTCACTTTTTCCAAATCATTATCAATATTAATCTTTAAACATTTTTACTAATTTTATCTTTGCTAACTCATACTTGTCAAATACATAATTTCCATTGAAATTCTATTATTGTCATTTAAATTATATTGTATTCAATACAGAAGAAGTCAAGTTTAATATATCAAGAGAATGTAACAAGTTATTGTGAATTATAAAAAAATATTCATTTTATAAATTAATATTGAATAATAAAAATAAAAATGTATTAATTGAACAAAGAAAGTTAACAAATAATAATTGTTAATCAAAAAATATAATTTAGATTACAAATATTTATGTAAAAAAAAAATCAATTAAAAATGATTGAAAATGAAAATAATGATAACAATATTTTAACTTCATATAATGATGTAAAAATAATGGAACGAAATAATATTAAAAGTGAAGTTGATAAAAATTTAATGAAAGTTAAAGTTTATAATGAAAGATGGTTTATATTATTCATCTTTTCATTAAGTGCTGCAGTGAATTATCTCTCATATGCGCAATATTCAATTATAACAAACATCATAACAAGGTAATAATAGAAATTAGAATTTCAATTAATTTTAAATAATTATTTTTATAATTAAATTAATAATAAAATTTAATTTGATGAACAATTTTTTTTTGTTGAAGTAACTAAAAATGAATATTTTTTTTGTTAAAACCGTTTTTTTTTAATTAATAAAATTAAAAGAATTTTTTTTTCATCAATTTTTAATAAAAGAAATTGTTTAAAATTATTTATTATAATTTTATTAATTATTAACTCGTAGGTGCAAATAAAAAATTATGATAAAATATTTTAATCTATTATATAGGTATTATGGGGTATCAACAACGGCTGTTGAATGGACAATGATGATTTATTTGCTTCTTTATATACCATTAGTAATACCGGCGACAAATTTATTTGAAAAAATAGGAATAAGATGGTCTTTGATATTAAGTTTTTGTTGTGTAACTATTGGTGTATGGATTAAAGCATTCTCAGTAGCACCTAATAGATTTTATATAGCATTTATTGGACAATTTGTTAGCGCAATTACATTGGTACATTGTTTTTCATAAATAGTTAATTAAAAAAAATAAATAAAATCAAATAAAAAATAAAAATCAAATTGTCATTAATTTATATTGAAAAATTTTTTTTCTATACTTTTTCCATGAATAATTAATAAATTATAAAAATAAAATTTTCAATTTTTAATTTATATTAAAAAATTGAATTAAAAAAAAAGAAATTTTATTTTCATTCCAATATTTGCAGGTATTTTTTGTATCTTCACCAACTCGTCTTGCTGCAAATTGGTTTCCATCTGAGCAAATATCAACGGCAATATCATTGGCAATTTTTGGTGCTTTATTAGGCATTGCCATAGGTTTTTATATTCCTCCAATAGTTATAAAAAATCATGAAAATTTAGACAAAATTGGTGAAGAAATTCAATTATTAAATTATATTTATGCTGGCATTACAACAGTAATGGCTATAATTATAATTATATGTAAGTTTTAAAATAATATTTATTTACTTGTATTTGAAAATTATTATATTAAATAATATTAAAGTATTAGTATATTAAGAATTTAATATTTGAAAAAAAAATAATTAAATCATATTTTTTTATAAACAAAAAAATAAAATAAATCAATTTTTAGTTTTCAAAGAAGAGCCAAAGCAACCTCCAAGTGCTGCACAAGCACTTTTAAAGGTCAATCGAATTGAAAACAAGGAGGGTTTTATTGAACCATTGAAAAGACTTTGCAAGAACAAGTATTTTCTTCTTTTGTTCAATTCTCATGGTTTGAATGTTGGTGTTTATAATGCCACTGCTACTATGCTTAATCCATTGTACACAACACACTTTCCGGTATGTATAGAAAAAAATAAAAAAATAATTTTTTCAAATAAATTTAATAAAAAAATACTTATAATATTATATTTTCAGAATGGTGAAGAAGAAGCAGGACAAATTGGTTTACTTATAATTCTCACTGGAATGCTTGGAGCTGTCGTTTTTGGCATTTTAGTTGATAAAACGCGTAAATACAAGTAAAAATCCCAATTACAAAAAAAAATGAGAAATTTTAAATTTACAAATTTTTAATACAATATTTCGTTTTTTTTTTTGTTAATTCGCAGAGCAATGGGCGTAACTGCTTATTTCTTAAGTCTATTGGCACAAATTATATTCGCAATTTCTCTAAGTGTTGAAGTAAAATGGCTAATTTATGCATCGTCAATATTTCTAGGGTGGGTAAAAATATAACTAAAAAATAAAATTTAAAAAGAAGAAGTTAAAAAAAAAATTTTTGAAAAAAACAATTTTTTATTCTATTTTCAATTTTTTTTTTTTTTGTTTTTTGATATCGAATGGAAATTTTTTTTTCCTACAGATTCAGTTTATCGGGATACTATGCATTGGGATATGAATTATGCGTGGAATATACATATCCCGAATCAGAATTCATGACCGTTGGAATTCTTATTGTTGCATCTGATGTATATGGCATTCTTTTGGTCACAATTCTTTCTGAATTATGGACCTATTATGGAGATATTGCAGCACACATTGGCTTTTGTTTTGTTCTTTTAATTGGTTTTATTATCACAGTTTTTACAAAAGACGAACAACGTCGTGAAAATGCGAGAAAATCAACTTTATATACAACAGTACCAACAAGAGAAAATGATGCAATAACAAATCAGAGTACCTAATAAAAGTAACAAAATGTAATTTTAATTCTGTTATTTAAAATTCTAATTAATTTTATTGTATTTTAATTTACAGTCAAATAAATTAATATTTAAATTACTATTTTTATTATTATTATTATTATTATTATCATTATTATTATTATTGTTATAATTATTATTGTTGTAATTATTATTAGTATTATTATTAGTATTATTATTAGTACTATTAATATTATTATATTTTCCTCTTTTATTCAGAAAATTTAATTTTGCAAATTTTTCTCTCCACTCAGTAAGTGATAAGTTATTAAATTATTTTTGATAATAATCCTCGTTTACTTATATAACGACTAATCGTTTATTTTACTGCAGATTCTCATCACCATCTGTGTCAAGAATGAGAGCTGTTCCAGAATCGTTGAAACTACTATAAAGGAGCATTTACCACACACACACAAAGAGAAAATATAGATGTGTTATCTCACACACAAATGGTAAAAGTTGTTCCTTGGAGAAATCAAAATCTCATTCAATCGGATAACATTTCGATTTTACGATATCGATTACTATCGTATAATAATATATATGGTTAGGGAATAATTCATGAAGATAATACATAATTATCAGTTCATTATAATTTTAAGATATTATCGATTAAATTTTACAATTATATTTGATTTTTTCCCCCACTAATTATTATTATTATTATTATTATTATTATTATTATTATTATTATTATTATTATATGTAAAGTAGAACAGTATAATTATTTTAACAAATAATACTAAAAAAAAATAAAAATAATAATAATAATACTTATTCAAAAAATACGTTGATTCGTTGAAAGTTTTGTCTGACTGAAACTGACTTTTACTACTGATGCAAAATACAAGAATATAATACTTTTGTTTGACTGCAACTAACATTTATTACTGAAATAAAAATAACAGAATTTTAGGAAATTTTTGTCTGACTGTAACTGACTTTCACTACTGATTTAAAAATAACAAGAAATGCGGAAATTGTCTGGCTAAAATTCACTTCTACTACTGATAAAAAAAATGTAAATAGAAATAAGTAATAGAATTTTATGAATTGAATTTTCTTTTATCATATTTTTCTAATCATTTTCTTTGTTTATATCTGTTACAAGACGAATTAATTATTATTGTTTTTTGCAATTTTTGTTGTTAGTAGTGAGGGTAAATTGTAGTCAGACGAAACTTTTACAAATTTCACTATTTAGGGTTTAAGTAGTAAAAGACAATTTCGGTCAGACGAGGTTTGAATTTTTTTCGTATGAGTAGTAAAGAGCTGTTTTAGTGAGACGAAAACGAAAATGCAATTTAAATTTTTTCGTTGTAGTAACAGAGGCAGAAGAAACTCCTTCTGATTCCTGTATTTTTGTAAAAAGTAGTAAAAGTCGATAATAGTCAGACAGAACTTTACACTATTGAAAATAAACAAGAATTTAAATAAAATTACTTAGAAAATATTCGTTTGACTGCAAAAGACTTACACTACTGAAACAAAATACAAGAAAATTAATATTTTTGTCTGACTACAACTAACTTTTACTACTGAAATAAAAATAACAGAATTTTAGGAAATTTTAGTCGTTACTGTAACTAATTTTTACTACTGATATAAAAATAACAGGAAATTCGGAAATTGTCTGGCTAAAATTCACTTCTACTACTGATAAAAAAAAATTCAAAATGCAATATAACGGAAACTATCTTTGATAACTTAAATCGTAACTAATGAAATTTTTCTTCTGAAACTAAAATTACTAGAATTTAGGAAAGTTTCGTCTGATAAAAATGGATTTTTACTACTGATTTCAAAGTAAAAGGAATTAAATATTTTTCGCATGATTAGAAATTATTTTTACTACTTATTCTATTTACTGTAAAAAAAATATTATTCTTAACCAGTTATGTCTGACAAAAAAATCATTTTACTACTGATTTTTTATTGTGACAAAAAAATTCGACTATAAAATTTCCACAATAATTATATGTCTGACTTAAAATTATTTTTACCACTAATTCTAATGTAAAATAAATTTAGAAAAGTTTTGTCCGACTACAACATACTTTTACTACTTATTTACCAAAAAAATTGAAAATAGAAAAGTTTTGCCTTTAAGCAAATTTATTTTTACCACTCAAAATTAAGTTAAATAAATCTTGTATGCAAAAAATACAAGAATTTGAAAAGTTACGTCCGAATGAAACTGACTTTCACTACTGAAATTAAAATAAGTAAAATTGTACATAAAACGCTAGAATCAGAAAATTTAAGTCTCTTTAAAACTGACTTTCACTACTGAAATTGAAATAAATAAAATTTTACATAAAATTCAAGAATCAGGAAAGTTAAGTCCAACTATAACGGACTTTTTCTACTGAAAATAAAATAAATTTATAAGAATCAGAAAAGTATAGTCTGACTGTAACTGAATTTTTCTACTAAAACTAAAGTTATTAAAATTTTTACTAATTCCAGTATTTTTATTAAGTAGTAAAAGTAAGTTTTAGTCAGACAGAAATATTTTTTTATCTTCATTTTATTTCAACAGTCAGTTGAACAGTAAAAGACATCATTATACAGACAAATCGTATACATATATAATATATGAATAATGTATATATATTGTATTAATTCTCTGATTATAAATCGCATAATATATAATGTGGTGTACGTGAGGTTTTGGTCGAATAATATGTCTCAAGTAGTAATGTGTCTCTGTATTTATATATATGTGTATGCCAGTGATATGGAGAGATAGACAATTGGGTTGCTATAGATTTCACTATATGTGTTTAATTACACAAACTGACAATGAGATTCTGTTAAGCTACATCGGACATCCGTTGAAGCTGGCCTTACCGCGAAACGGGCTGGTTGTGCGCCATCTGGTCTACGTTTACTCCATAAATTTTGCTGTACATGCATTAGAGTTGAAACATGCATACACCGCGTCTCTAACGTTTCGCATTGTCGTCCCTCATTAATAGAGTAGGACAATTTCCAGAGGGAACATAGCGTGCGATATTAATCCGCGCGCCAGAAGCTCCAAAGTCTGAGAAGTTATCAAGTCAAGTCCGCAGCATCTGGCAAGGGTAACCATGCGAAAACTTAATTGTTATATATAAGGAAAACGAAAAGATATTTTCCAAGAAAGATTATTTTTCATTCTTTTTATTATCACGGAAAATAAGAAATCTTTTTTTTTTTTTTTTTGAATCAATCACATATATTAAATTCTTTAATAAAATAAAAATATTCAAAAAATAATTTAATAAAATTTTCAAAACATTAATTTCTTTAGAGAAATAAAAATAAATTTTAAAAATAATTGATTCAATAATGATTGATGAGAATAATTATTGTGTTTAAACATTGTCAATAATTAAAATTGTGGCTACTGCAAATCAGTAGTAAAAGTCAGTTTTCGCCAGACCTACATTTCCTGATTTTTGTATTTTTTTTGTACAAGTTTATTCAATTTAATTTCAGGGATAAAAGTCAATTGGTTAGAGGCAAAACTTTTCTATTTTCAATTTTTTTGACAGGCTATACTTTTCGGATTCTTGTAAATTTATTTTATTTTTAGTAGAAAAATTTCGTGTTAGTCGGACTTAACTTTCCGGATTCTTGAGTTTTATGTAAAATTTTATCTATTTCAATTTCAGTAGTGAAAGTCAGTTTTAGTCAGACTTAAATTTTCTGATTCTTGAGTTTTATGTACAATTTTACTTATTTTAATTTCAGTAGTGAAAGTCAGTTTCATTCGGACGTAACTTTTTAAATTCTTGTATTTTTTGCATACAAGATTTATTTAACTTAATTTCAGTGGTAAAAATAAATTGCTTAAAGGCAAAAACTTTTCTATTTTCAATTTTTTTGGTAAATAAGTAGTAAAAGTAAGTTGTAGTCGGGCAAAACTTTTCTAAATTTATTTTACATTAGAATTAGTTGTAAAAATAATTTTAAGTCAGACATATAATTATTCTGGAAATTTTATAGTCGAATTTTTTTATCACAATAAAAAATCAGTAGTAAAATGATTTTTAGTCAGACATAACTGGTTAACAATAATATTTTTTTTACAGTAAATAGAATAAGTAGTAAAAATAATTTCTAATCATGCGAAAAATATTTAATTCCTTTTACTTTGAAATCAGTAGTAAAAATCCATTTTTATCAGACGAAACTTTCCTAAATTCTAGTAATTTTAGTTTCAGAAGAAAAATTTCATTAGTTACGATTTAAGTTATCAAAGATAGTTTCCGTTATATTGCATTTTGAATTTGTTTTTATCAGTAGTAGAAGTGAATTTTAGCCAGACAATTTCCGAATTTCCTGTTATTTTTATATCAGTAGTAAAAATTAGTTACAGTAACGACTAAAATTTCCTAAAATTCTGTTATTTTTATTTCAGTAGTAAAAGTTAGTTGTAGTCAGACAAAAATATTAATTTTCTTGTATTTTGTTTCAATAGTGTAAGTCTGTTGCAGTCAAACGAATATTTTCTAAGTAATTTTATTTAAATTCTAGTTTATTTTCAATAGTGTAAAGTTTTGTCTGACTATTATCGACTTTTACTACTTTTTACAAAAATACAGGAATCAGAAGGAGTTTCTTCTGCCTCTGTTACTACAAAGAAAAAATTTAAATGCATTTTCGTTTTCGTCTCACTAAAACAGCTCTTTACTACTCATACAAAAAAAATTCAAACCTCGTCTGACCGAAATTGTCTTTTACTACTTAAACCCTAAATAGTGAAATTTGTAAAAGTTTCGTCTGACTACAATTTACCCTCACTACTAACAACAAAAATTACAAAAAACAATAATAATTAATTCGTCTTATAACACATATAAAATTATTATAAAAATATGATAAAAAAAATTCAATTCATAAAATTCTGTAAATTATTTCTACTTTTTTTTGTAGTCATCTAATTGCTTATCCTTCTGTCGTAGAGCGAAGAGAGTGTGCTTTGTGTCTAAAAAGTCAACCTAATTAACAAGAGAGCTCTAAACGCTAATTGTAAGATGAACGTACAACTAAAAGAGAATTTTCTCGCTAGTGTTTCTCATTAACACAAAATGTGCGTCTCATTAAGAAAGAGAATACTTGTGGAAATATTCAAAAATGTCTCCACGATGCATATAACTGAGCAATGTCTCAAAAAAAAAAAATTGAAACGAAACAAGAGGGGGTGGGGGGGGGGGTAAATTTTGAAATAAACGATCAAAGAGGTCTTTCGTCAAGAAATATATATATATATATATATATATATATATATATATATATATATATATATATATATATATATATATATATGACAAAACAAGAACGTGACAATGACAGCATTCATTGTCGTGTGCACCAAAACCTTTACGGGACGCTTGAGAATTAAGAGAGGGTTCGACACTATAAACTTCACTTTCTCATGAATCCAGGATACGTGACTGACTTGGAACTTAAGGGAACAGTTACATTCCTCTTTGGTGCACTCAGGTTTATTAGATTCTATTGGATAGCGTCCAACGGTTATGAAATTGTTAAATCTGTTACATTTACTAGGTCCGGTCATGGTTGTTTGCTCTTACAGTAATTCGAAATAAAAATAATTTTCTTCATC